TACACAAGACAAAGTGCCTTACTAATGTAGGCAGAGGGCACTTAGTGAGCTTGTTCCACAAGCATAACATCGGCCCCTCTTCATCTACCATCAGGGATGTGCCTGCAGCACAGTATGTATGTACAGCAGGGTGTGACAGATGCTCACACGTCACCACTTGTGCTGACACATCACTCACTATACCAATAACAACTCCACTGCTGCAGGAATATGTCAGGAATGCTTATTAGAGTGTGGGCAACACTCCAGGAAACACAGGCTGTTACAGAAAAATGACGTGTTGGTGAAATTCATATAAACTTGCCTGTTGATGTAATGAGCACAAATTGGCGGTTACACACTAGGGTGAAAGTGGTAAGGCTCACTTCCTGAAAGCTCTCCCATTCAGAGTCACATGACCTCATGTTGCTTTCCTCTAACATTCCCTCTTACACACAGCGAGGTGTTTGTGAGCACCCTGTCAGAGGTGCTCAGAGTGGCTGACCTCTAATGGAGAATCAATACCACAGAATGATTTAGAGCACTCACAAGCACTCACAGGGTCGAGCCTACGGATGGCAGGCAGAGGACATACATCAATGTCCCCGGGTATTGTGGGGGGGGGCAAATGGTCCCTGGACCTGGACGGAGTCCTTGCTACTTCCGCAGCAGCCCACCTCGGCGTTACATTATGCTCACTACAGGCCCAATCAAATAAAAGTAATGTGTGGCAATAACACTATGGATTTTCCATCAACCTATGGCTTGTCACTTAGCCCGATGACCCAAGAGCGGGGACCTACAGCAGCTCAAACTTGGAAAGATTAGTGGACCTATCAAAAGGTCACACTCTCAAGGAGCTTGCAACTAATGTCAGACTCCAATGTGACGCGCGTGTGTGTGCGCACACACACATGCTCGTGCTTGTGTTAATCGACTGCATTCTATTTATCTTTCCAGGCCGTAAATTCAGGTCTACGCTGGCAAACAGACAGTATATGCAGGTGGTAATTACATTACCAGAATCACCAACGCTATCAGCCAAAAACCAAACAGCATCAACCAGTGACCTTACTTTACTCTGTCAAAGAGCAAACCTGTGGCCAATATCCAATTAAATGTACCACTGTTAACAAGAAAATCTGTTGACATTTGAGTTGAGGACTGACCCGAAATATTGACATGCCAAATATTGTATCTATAAAACATGATTTTATGATGGGCAACAACAGTAGTGGCCTCTCTAAACAACCCTCAGAGAGTGACAGCTGCTGTGTCAGTAGTGAGAAAAGCCTGTCTGGCCATGCCTGACATGACAAAGCGCTGCCATATGGGCCCACTTCTCAACCCCACAATGATGACAGATGCCAAAGTGTTTGATATGGAGGTGCGTCCTCAGATCTTCTCTCTCTCTCTCTCTTCTTTCTATCGTACTGTGACCTGATTCTTAACAGCATTTGAATTCTAAGGAAGTTCCCATTTGTCTCAATTACATATTAGTCAAACTGTGCATGTTAAGTATCCTGGAGGCACAGGAGGCCTGTTAGAGTATGTGAGTGTAAGTCAGTAATTCACAATCCTTTACTCAAACATCTAGAATGCTTCTGGTTGTGTGTTATTAGGATGTTCATTATGGTTTTAATTTGGATCAGAGAGAAGAATACATGACATTAAAATACACAAACTCTCATAACTTTAGAAGCTTCTGAAGAAAGTGTAAAGGTGTTCGCTGCTGAAATTGTGTAGTTGAATCATTTGAAATAACTAAACCAGTTGAATTTGTAGTTGAAGTGGCAGCCGAGTTCCAAACACTACAAGTACTCCAAAAAGAGTTGAATTAGCCCTTAAAAAAGGAAGCACTAAAAGAAGAAGTTTCAGCGAAAGCAATGAATGAAGTTGAAGTGTCAACTTGAGTGTAACCACTGAGTGAAGTGTCAGTTAAGGTGTTAAAAGGATTTAAAGTTTCAGTTTCATGGGATAGCCAGTATATCCATTACATCTATGCTCTCTAAACTCCTTTGACACAAACAATAATTTTAGCTTGCGGAACACACGAGTTGCTGGTCCACCGCTGCCTCGACCGGTTAGCTAGCTTGTGTTACTGTGTGTCTTTGGTGTATCATACAATGAAACATAAACCGATATAGGTTCATTTGGATTGGAAAGGGCTATCTGACAATATTATATATAAATACACCTAAGCTGATAGCTATTGTTTTTTTAGGCGGCTAAAATAGATTTTCTGCTGAAGAGGCGTTTTATGTTCAAAGGTAAATACGTGAGAATAGAGTTTTTTTAAATGTCAGTCAGTCAGAGTTCATTTGTCAGTTGGATGCACTACAAATGTCCCATGTGTATGTGCAAGAGTAGTAGACGTTTTAGTTGAAGAGGGTGCACTGAATGCTAATAAGCTAACGATGTTTCTAAAATGCTTCCACATCTAATATTAAAAGAACTTTCTCATTTTATAATGAATCAGCTGAGGATTTTTAGTTATCCAGACTCACTTTTGTTTAAGCTAGAGGCTGGGCTTTGGTGTGGTGCCACATCTTTTTAAAGAATCTTTAAAGCCGATAATTCATATTTATACTTCCTATTTATACAATCTGCAATCCTTATTTATATCGAAGAATATAAATTAGTGTTAGAGTTAGATTCATCTTCATAAACTGGGTCAAAAGCTTCACTGTGCATATCATCTACTAGACAGAGAGGGCCTTTGATAAGGACTAATCAGGAGAGCCTGAGTCCTATTTCATGGTTCCTATTTAGAGGTGAAAAATAATCACAGGGATCTGAGAAGTTTGTGAGCTGACGTGCAACAAAGATTCTTTGCTTAACTGCAGCGTGTTCACACCCTTCAAAAGAGAAAGACATCAAATCAGATATTTAATTGCAATTCATTTCTATGTCAGGCAGGTGGGGGGTGTTAACAGACAGTCCATGAGCCACAAATCATTTACAGATTGGCACTTTAAACATCTAATAAATCCATCTATCTGATGAACTTCAACACTGCAATTTACAGATCACAAGACTGGATGTGGGCACCTGACCTGTCACTGGCCTGTGACGATCCAGAGAAGTTTCCAATGCAAATTGGCTGTGGGATTGTTCAATTGAGTGCGGTGTAATGCAAATCACTGTTTATATACCGCAGCAGCACTGCTGGATTCCCATTTAACCCAGTCTATTGTACACATGTGGAGCAGGCAAATGACCCTACTTTGCTTACATGTAAATGACAGGGATATCCTGAGGCAGGGTGGGAGTCCTGATTCCCCGTGAATTTGATTGCTCACTCTAATGACAACTAAGAAAATGACAAGCAAAGACTTCAAAAAAAGCCTTAGTCATTGTGTGTATCGTGGCTACTACTTTTACATTGAATAAACCAAGGGTTTAAACCAATTCCTAAGAACTCGCCCTGAAGCCTGTTAAGCTGAACACAGTTCTGGTAACTTGTGTCAATTAAAACGTGTTTATGCAGTGGGAGTAACTTCAACTGTAACTAAGCCTGATGGATGTTTCGGTGCTCTTTCCTGTAATTACTACTTACTGACAACATACCAGGTAGAAACACACGATAAAAAAGCTACATGAGTAATAGCACAATCGTTGTTGTGCTTTGTTCCAACACCCTTGGCATGAATGAGTAAGCGCTAATTGCCAGATGTCAATATCTGTTTCTTACCCCTAAAACCTTAAACACAGGAGTAGATTCCTGTAAATGGTTAAGAATACATTATTGCTTGCCGAAATGCCCTACAGTTCTCTGAGAAAAGGGACCTACATTTGAGGCAGAGGAGGAGAAAGCCCGAGCTGTTGCTCTATCAAGTTTTCAGTAGTTGGTGTAAACACGTCAATGAACTATGACCAAGGTGTGTCGTAAAATTAAAGCATGTGTGTCATAAAATTAAAGCATTTTATTTCCTTGAGGAATTCCCTCAAGCTGCCTATGACCCGCTGCACCGTTCAAGTAAAGATACCACACACAGACATTCAGATACATTCAGATACACATATAAAGATATTTAGAAAGAGCACAGGTATCAACAGGCAACCGTTTCGCTGGAGTCATACCTCCATAAAAGCCAGTCAAACAGCTTTCATTGTTTATTTTCCAGGATGTTGCAGTGGAACTACAGGGATGATTCGTTTTGACGCATTAAAAAAATGACAGCTCTTTCCTCATCAAGTAAGCAACCGTTGACCGAGTGTGGAATGCATACAGCCGCCTGGAAGCAGCGATGCACGCTGCATTTTTGGGGGGCGTTACAGTGTGAATTGTGTGTGAACACCAGTTTCAAGTCTTCTTAAATGTTTCCTGGTGACAAGATGTTCCTATATGATTAAAGAGATTCAATCTCTTGGGTGTGAGCAAAGTTTTCCTGTGTGAAACAACCTTTGGATTCTAGCCAAGTCAACTCAAAGCAGAAGTTATAGTGTATTAAACATATAATGTGCTTTTCTTTTTTCACATCCCCCGAAGGTTTCCAGCGAAAAACGCATCATAGTTTGAAGAGTTCATGACCAAATAGCAGGTGATGGACCAGAAGACACAGTGAGCGCATTGTGTGTGCAGAGGGGTCACGATGAGCTAGCGCAGCATGGCTGATTGTTGTTAACTCTAGCCGTCACTGCTGGTTGTTCCCAGCCGCACCGAGTTCAGAGTCTGATGCTTCTTTCCATGACGTCAGCCGGCAGCGGCACAGAGCTGGCGTGAGGCTACAGGCCTGCCTGGTTCGCACAGGGGCACACCTCTCTCTCTCTCTCTCTCTCTCTCTCTCTCTACATGCTTTTCTTTTCCTCTTTCTCACTACACACACAGCAGACGTGATATTTTCCTCTGAAGTGTGCAACGCTGCTGCACAATGCAAACAGAATTCCTTAACAGCCATAACCAGGACATGCTTCTCCATAGGCACACACACGCCCACACACACACACACACACACACGCTCTATGCTCATGCTATCCAATCGCCTCAGTGCTAAACAAAACATACAGGCTGGAATCACCTGGCAATCCACATGTTTTGGCACGTCAGTGACAGTAATAATTAGAGAGGAGTGAAGTTAGGTTGACAGATTGCAGCCAAGCAGATGTTTGTTTATTTATAACTTTGGTGAAGAGCTGTACAGAAAATAAAATTCTTATTGCATAATGGGGCCCATTTAATATATTTATTTTTAGTTAATTCAAAAGCAACCATAAAAACTACAAAAACTGGAAATTTGGGATGACTAACCAGTTTCAAACATTAGTATCAGAGCAAATTGAGGCATACAGGTTCGAGGTTCCTGTCAGCTGTGTTACATTAAAATCTATAATAGATACCAGAAGCTACAGTATCAGAACTGTCTGTGACCCATCTTTAAACTTGGAAGAGCTAAGTTTTGCGATGTTTTATGTTGTTTTAGAATTCCTTAAACATGTCCAAAAAGCGTTTTATAAAATCATATACAATATCTGTAGTATTATGATTGTTTATAGTGAAAAGAATTTAAATTTTGACTTTAAAGTTGTCCTTAGGTAGGTATCATTTGTGGCAAAATCTAAATAGTGGATTGGGACTTCACTGTATTGTCTGATTGGGAGCAGGATCACGTAGGAAAAACATTCTTAAGGGGAGAGCAGGATTTGGTAAGTAGAAGTCATGAGGCCAGCCACAGTATGTCACTGTGACGTGACATTAAGCGGAATTAATGGAACCTATTGGTCTGGCAATTATCAGGATATTAGCTATTGGTTATTACTCCTGCATCATGTTTAATCTGTATAAAGTGTATTCAGTTTCTGAGGAAATCTAAGACTCCCACATGAGGCAATCCATTACAGACAGAGCATTCGACTGCAGATGCACTGCAGTAAAATATAGATCTCAAATGCCGTGTATCCACAGTGCTGTTCTGAGGTCTTTGGCATGTAATGTACTGTAAGTATTGTTGCAAAAATAAAGGTCCAATGTGTAACATTTAGGAGGCAGAATGGGAATAAAATATTCATAGGTATGGTTTCTTTAGTGAATAATCACCTGAAAACAGGAATTGTGTTTTCGTAACCTTAGAATGAGCTGGTTTTATCTACAGGTGCAGGCGGCCTTCTATGGAGTCCGGCATGTTGATCCACTGTGTTTCTACAGTAGCCCAGTAGGAAAAAACAGAAACTGGCTCTAGATAGTAGGGATGTGCGTGATTAGTTGACTAGTCTGTAACACGTTGCTAATCTCACTCAAACGCTGGTTAACTGCGTCTTCATGCAGCCACTCACCACTAGCTGGAGATACAGCCCCAGCAGGTGGCAACCCCTCGTCCCGGCACTAATGCAGGGACAAAGAGTCATCTTTATAGTCATAATATAACATAGTCATGATATTTTGTTACTGTGGTCTACTTTGGGATTCTACCAACTGATTTCACTCCCTCACATCTAACCTCACACAACAGATGTGTTCGAGATGGCAAAATTCAGAGAAAATGGCATTGAAAAGAAAATACCACTGGCGAGTCCACTGGTCTAAATCGATCAAAATTAGTCGCCAGGATCGCCGCTACTAGATTGTGCCGTTCCCATTCCCTCACGCACCTCACAGTGGGTGATCTGCAATCAGCGACTACACTGCTAGATGCCCGTAAATCTTACACACTGGTCCTTTAAACATCCCCATGAGAAGAGCTGTGAACAATCTAAACATCTAAATATTATCTCTTTAGGCTAGAAGTATACACTTTTACGTTTTAGCGACAGTATTTGAGTATGCGCCTGAGGCTAAACAG